TGCTGTGAGCCATGACGCCACGGCACTCTACCAAGGGCGACATAATAAGACTCTGTCTCAAAAAAAAAAAGTATGATTTTTTACTGTAAGGAATAATGAAGACGCTGCCTTGCTCTCTCAGTTGTAGAGATAAGCACCCCATGCTCAGACATGGCAGTTTGCTTCAATGTGCTCCCCCAGGAGATTGATTCTGAGAAAGATTTCTTCAAAGATCGAGCTTCTGCACCTGCCTATAGATATGCAGAAATATGCAGAAAGAGTCTTTAGAAGAGATCCTGGAGAATCAGGCTGGGGTCGCAGCTGGAAGCTTGAACACATGTCCTCAAGCGTTGGGTTCTGTTCTCTGTCTTCTTCCTTCATTAACATTATAATCTCTAGTTTCAGTTTGGGCCAGCGAGAACAGACGATCAGTCTCCTTTATGTTTTTACTCTAAACAAAATCAATTGTATATGTGTTCCTCAGCCTTCACACTGAATTGTAATCTTAATGGTAGCTTCCTAATGTTACTTCACTTCTTTGTATCTGTGTTAAATTCTTACTGGATGTTTGAAAGTATATAAGATAATCAGTAAAGTTAGGCCTGATCGCTGACCGGAGTCTCGACCTCCCTTCAAATCAATCATCCCGTCTGCAGTTCCTTTTCCCTGCGTCTCCAATCAGAGGCTCCAAGAACACTTTCACTCAGTGTTCTCTACAAGTCACTCATGGGCTGTGCAGACATGAGGTTCATTTGGGTAAGGACATTTCTACAGCTAGTACCACATAAAAAGAGAAGTTCCTCAAGGGTTACAGCTACCACCATAGGACCTAACCCTCAAACCAGGGAGCAGTATGTATTTCTGGCAAAGTTCTAGAAATGCTTAAATAGACTGTGGGCAACTGATGAATCACCAATTCCTTTTCTAAGAAATTACGAAAGCCCAGCCTGGTGACTGTTTTGATCAAGCTACTGGATGGGGCCACAGGAGGGTGCTACAGGCACAGCAAGGCTGCTCAAACACAGCTCACAGCATCTGACAACTGCAATGGGGAGGGAGGATGTGTGTGGCTACATTAACAATCTGGCCAAGAAGTTAATACACCCACTTGTCAAACATGTTTAAAAGTGAATAGTCAACTGGGCTCAGCGGCTGTAGCACAATGGTTACAGTGCCAGCCGCATGCACCAAGGCTGGCAGGTTCAAGCCTGGCCAGCTAACCAACAATGACAACTGCAACAACAACAACAAAATAGCCAGACGTTGTGGTGGGCACCTGTAGTCCCAGCTACTTGGGAGGCTGAGGCAAGAGAATCGCTTAAGCCTAAGAGTTGAAGGTTGCTGTGAGCTGTGACGCCAGAGCACTCTACCAAGAGTGACATAGTGAGACTCTGTCTCAAAAAAAAAGTCAACTGAAGGAATGAATTAACCTAGAACACCCTGGCTTAACAGTAACACATACAGATGACTAGGCTGAGCATACACTTGTTTACCTAGTAGTCTGGCTACCTCAAAGCCACAGAAGGGAGGTGACTATTCTGCTTTCTCCTAGAGAAATGTCCTAAAAGTAACGACATTTCTTCTTATAATGGAGATATCCTAGAAGATGATGAAAGCAAAACTCAGAAGCATACAGGATTTAGAGCCCCGGTCTGTGAGGAATAAACACTAGCCTATCAGCCACTGCTATGACAGCTGCTGAAGGAACAATCTGCAGTTTGCTGGAACTCCCAAAAAGGTGAGGCCCCAAACACAACCCTTCAGGTAGCACATGACTGTCAGTAGCCCAGTAGGGATAGTGGCTCCCTCCTATCCTCAGCCCTCACTCACAGATGCCAACAGCTCACTAGGTTTAGCAGTAGCTCTGCCGCTAACTCACACTGTTGAATTAAGCCCTAACTCCCAAGTCTTTGAGTTCCTGGCTAGCCCAATCTTCCCTGCCCTGTATGAACCTATACACACATTTAGGACTCATTAAAAACTCAAGTCTCAGGCAGCACCTGTGGTTCAGTTGGTAGGGCACCGGCCACATATACAAGGGTGGCAGGTTCAAACCCGGCCCCAGCCAAACTACAACAACAAGAAAAAAAATTAGCCAGGCATTGTGGCGGGCACCTGTAGTCCCAGCTTCAAGAGGCTGAGGCAAGAGAACTGCCTAAGCCCAGGAGTTAGAGGTTGATGCGAGCTGTGATGCCACAGCACTCTACCAAAGGCGATAAAAGTGAGACTCTGTCTCCAAAATAAAAAAACTCAAGTCTAATTCGAGCCAGTCCAATCCATGAGCCCATCTGAACAACTGAGGATTCTCAATGGCCCCTAACCTATTTGCTATTTCTCCTGGTAGCTATTTCTCCCTACGTCTACTCATGACAAATGCCTTCATACAGACAAACACTAAGTAGGTGGGAGTGGAAAGCAAGCTTCCCAAGGCCTCTATTTGGATGCAGCTGATCCATGCAGCAGCCACTCGTGTGTTGGAACCACACCTAACTCCACTCTGCCCACACGTCAGCATCTGGTCCCTACTAACAGATTAGGAGGCTGGCAAACATGGAGATGAAGCTCTACCCACTCTCAATCTACCAGAGGCAGGGGTAAAACAACAGAACCTCCCAGGAATTCAGTCACCACTGTGGCTGCCTCTCTCTCTTGAGAGCACACAGAGGTATTCTTTCTAGAATGTAGCTTGATATCAAAGTCAAACCCTCCCATTCTAGCTATTTCCTCACCTACCTGCTCCTCCCTCTGGAAACTGGGATGCTTGCCTGTCTGCAGCCTTCTAGCATCTCTCCCACTCTGCAATTCCCCAAGGGTTGGTGGGGAATTCCCCAAGAAATCCCATCTGCAGATGATCTCAATAGCTCACTGCTGAATACAATCTCAAGTCTCAGCAAAAACTATACCACCTAGAGCAGTGGTTCTAAACCTGTGGGTCAAGGCCATGGCATTAGGAAGGTTGAGAACCACTGATCTAGAGAATATAGGCCCCCTCGTACACACTTGCCCATCTAAGATCTCAATTCTCTTGTCCCAACATATCCTTTGCCCCCAGCCTTCTACCCACCACCCTTTACTCAACACAGACATACACAGGGGACTGCCTTCTCCCCATTTCTTCCCCATGCTTCCCGATCCAGAGCTTGCAGGTGGCCTTCACCTTGTAAATACTATTCCTAAAGCTCTGAATGCTTTTCTGGTAGATGACCTTAGCTGTGTCTTTCCCCTCTCTCTGTGGACCTTTTCTCCTCACTTGGCCCATGTGCAGTCATGCTCAGAATCTTTGAGACAGCCTTCTGGATTTGCTTCCCTTTCAGTCTCAGACCATGAGATCATACTCTTTTAGAGCTTCCCAAACCTTAAAAATCTAGGGTATGTGACTCTACCTCTCAGCCTTCTCATTTCCTGACTTTCCTAAGTTTGAAGACAAGTTTGTAGATTACATCTGTAACTCAATAGTATATTGAAAAATGTTTGCCTTTTCTACCTCTACTCTCTCACCTTTCCATTGGATCTACAGATTCCAAGATCATTTGAACAACTGAGGTTTTTTCCTGAAAAGCTAAAACCCAAACAAGTAATCATCCTAAACCATAGTGAGGACAGACACTCCGGGTGACACTGAGAGTCTTAAGTCTTTAGGAACAAAACCAAGCAGGAAATCACCATCTGTAAGCCTGGCCTCAAAATTCACATGCTTACTTGGTGCTACCATCTGTATGTCCCCCAAACTCATGCATTGAAATTTAACCCCCACTGTAGTGGCATTAAGAGGCAGAGCCTTTTCAGAAGTGATCACAGGCTGGACACAGTGGCTCACACCTGTTATCCTAGCACTCTGGGAGGCCAAGGCAGGTAGATTGCTTGAGCTCACAGGTTCAAGACCAGCCTGAGTCAGAGTGAAATCCTATATCTACTAAAAATAGAAAAAAAAAACTGAGGCAAGAGGATAGCTTGAGTCCAAGAGTTGGAGGTTGCTGTAAGCATTGAATGATGTCACATGTGACGGCTTGAGACACTGTCTCAAAAAAAAAAAAAAAAAAAAAAAAAGAAGTAAGCACATCATGAAGGCTGCACTCTTGAATGGAGCAGTACTCTATAGAAGGGCTAGAGGCAACCAGCTTAGACCCTCTTTTTGCCCTTCTGTCTCTCCCACCATGTAAGGACACAATGTTCTTCCCCTCCAGAGGACACATCATCTTGAAAAACAGAGCAACCCTCATCAGACACCACACCTGCTGACATGTGGGTCTTAGATTTCCCAGCTTCCAAAACTGTGAGAAATAACATTTTTTGTCAGCAAATTAACTAGTCTCAGGTGCTTTGTTCTAACAGCACAGATGAACACAAGCACCAAGCTTCTCTGCCCAGACTGCACAGTAGGGACCTTCCAGACACCTTGTGTGCCCTCAGTCTGTGCTCCCATCCATCACCCGGCCAGCCTCTGCTGAACAGAGACCCTGTGTGAAGCCAGAGGCAGTGAACAGGGTCCTAGACCCAAATAAGTGCTTTCTGCTAGTCCAGCCTTGCCCAGCTAGCTTCCCCTAGGCCCTGACCAAAGCACTTAGTCTTGTTTGAGGAAACACCAGAAGTACTCAGGCCACCATGGAGCAACATCTGCCCCATTATAGGTTTCATCTGGGCAGGTCCTATGGAAAGGTTTGGTACCAACCCCTTTGGACCATTTCTACCCTCAGTCTCCATGTCAGCACCCCACATAAAACACCCCTGTCCATTAGCTCCCTATGCACTGGTTCCAGAGGAAAGGCCTTGCCATGTACTGCAAGCTCCATGCAAACAGAACACAAGAGTGCACAGTACCTCAGGGTCCTCTAGCAGTCCGTTCACCCTCTCCCACCCTCCATGCTGCCTTTGAAAGTTGGGGATGGGGGACCATGTATCGTCTTCCCTAACACAGACAGGTCCTCTGGGTCCAGGCTATAGACTGAGGAGGAGTCAAAGTGCCTTTGTGTCCCTAGCTAACCCAGGGCTCCCTTCACAACCCCTACCCTCTCCCTACTCACAAGGACAGCAACAAGGAGAAGCCAGCAATGTAGAGATTCCTCTGGGCACGGAAAAGCTTCATGTGGAAGTGTTCCATGGCCCCAGGATTATTCTGGAGGTTCACCTTTTCTGTCACATCATCATACTTCCGAATCTCACGTACAGCATCTACAGGGAAGCAAAGAGACCTGGGCATGTAGCTGTCACTTGGGCAAGAATGACCTGCACAACAGAGACAAGTATCATGAGATAGACTAGCCTCATTTCCCTCACATCCACCTCCCCATTTACTCCCACTTCTACACATACACACCCCTTGTGACAGGCTTTCTTGGAAGCTATGGCCCTCAGACCACATTCTCCTCCAGCTTCCAGCATGGCCCCATTCTGCCCAGACAATAGTCTGCTGTACGGTTCAAGATGCTAACTGAGATCCTAAGGTATTGCTGGCAACAGGGCAGCTTCCACTTCCCACGGTGCCCAACTGCATCTTGTTCAGTTTATCTCCAGGTGGCCCACAGCCACCCCATGATAGGCCAACATGGTCTTGTCCACAGAAACACCTGCTCGGGAGGCATGCTAGAGGATCAGGGTTTCTGCTTATAAACTTTACAATGAGTTGTATTCTTTATAATATTTTATTCTGGGCTCAGTACCTGGTAGCTCAGTAGGGTGCCAGCCACATGCACCCAGGCTGGTGGGTTCAAACCCAGCTCAAACCTGCTAAACAAACAAAGAAAATAGCCAGGCATTGTGGCGGGTGCCTGTAGTCCCAGCTACTAGAGAAGGTGAGGCAACAGGATTGCTTGAGCCCAAGAGTTTGAGGTTTCTGTAAGCTATGATGCCACAGTACTCTACCAAGGACCACACAATGAGATTCTGTCTCAAAAAAAAATTTATTCTGGTTACAAAAGGAATTTGTGCTTATCAAACATTCAAACACATCAGAAATGTGGAAAGGAAAAATATCCCATAACGTAGTCACCTCTACCAGCATCTACGATAAGAACGTGGCTGCCTTATCTAAAGTCGTTTTCAGTCCATTACCCTACATTACTTATTTTATAATTCACTAACCTTATCTTTAACACGTTTTTGCAACTCCTCCAGTTTAAAAATCTATGTACATGAGTACATTTGTCTGTATATAGGGCCACACCAAACCTACTACTTTTTCCTGATTACCCTGGAGCAAGACATCATAGAATCGGTATGTTTGATTCTTAACTTCTGGTTTTACACTGCTTGGTTTTTAAGCTGATCTTATATTATAAAACTCTGCCTACCCGTGAATCCTTGTGTTATATCTGCACCATGAAGTGAGCACTCCCAAATGCTGCCAGCAGGGGCAAACACCCGCACAAGACCACACCTGCTAGAAAATGTAAAAAGTTCATACCCTCAGGTTCAGCAATTCCACCTCTACAAATTTATCCCACAGAAGCACTTGGATTCATCTGCAATGCTTACAGTGTAAGAACTAAATTGTGGTACAACCATATGAAAAATACCCATATAATCTTTAAAAAGAATGGGATTGCTGTAAGCAGAAAACAATCTATATTTATGATCCTGCTGCCATAAACATTTTAACAAAGGTGTCAGCATAGGAAATGAATAGCAAAGGTTCACGATGATCATCTGTGGGCACAGGATTGCAGAGGACTTTAACTTTCTAAGATCAATTTTTGAATTTTTAAAAATAACTATGCATTATTTTTATAAGCAGGAAAAATAGTAAGTTGTCTTACACTTGTAACCTGCATCCAGCAATCCCACCATCCTCATAACTACCCTGACTGATAGCCAAGAAGAGACTAGGGATGGCGGACGTTCAGCAACACTAGTCTAAGTGTCACAGATGATCATGGCCCTCCTTATCCCTGGCGTCAGCCCAGGCAGGTGGATTCTACACCCTCCAGTCCAATTTGATTGAGGTCCTTCTGAGGGAAGGGCAGGAGCTGTCCAGGGCCACAGCTTGGGCTGGTTATGCTAGTACCTTTCCATAGTATCTGCTGGTAATAACACTTTTATTCAGAGAAGACTTTGCAGATCTCTCTAGATAATGCTCCCTGAGGATAAGCAGCAGCCAGTCACTGTAGCCATGTATCTCTCTACAACTTCCAAGCAGTTCTCTGATCCCAAAAAAGAATAAAGGCTTACTTTGTCAACTACTCAATTCCACAGACACCTCTGGCCCACTAAGCTGTACCGGGAAAGAGACACGTCTATGGTTCTGGTTTAGGAAAAGGGCAAGGCCCTGAGGATTCGAATAATCCTCCAAAAGGTCCTTCCTTTCTCCAATTCTTGCCCTCACTCCAACCCCCGAAGTGAAAACACATACACCTAGTTCAAATACTCAGTGGCCCAGCTTTTCATGGCACTCGGCTCCAGGGACAACACACATACTGCCCACCTACTAGCTCAGAGGCTGCTGAGGCTCAGGGAAAGAACCCGGATTGCAAAGAACTGCCTCTTAGGGCCTTGCCAAGTATTTCAAGAATAGTGAGGTATGGGTGGTGCCTGTGGCTCAGTGAGTAGGGCACTGGCCCCATATACCAAGGGTGGTGGGTTCAAATTCAGCCCTAGTCAAACTTCAACAAAAAAATAGCCGGGCATTGTGGCGGGAGCCTATAGTCCCAGCTACTCGGGAGGCTGAGACAAGAGAATCGCCTAAGCCCAAGAGCTGGAGGTTGCTGTGAGCTATGATGCCATGGCACTCTACCAAGGG